CAATTGCATCCAGTGAGCGCTTATTCAACTCGCATGACAGCGAACTTTGATAGGCATTCAGAACAGCTGGCTTCGCCAGTTGGCTGGTGTCAATGCGGTCACAACGTCGTCGTGGGCGTCCGCCAAAGCGCATCCGCAGGTCAGCACATACAACAGTGTACGAGCTTCTTCTGTGGCGAGGGAGCTCGTTCAGCTGACGATAGAAGTCATCTTTTAACGAGTAATCGCTAGCGTTTGTGGGTGCATAGGCAACGATAACGAATAGACACCTGTTAGTCACACGCGACTTCGAAGCTTTGAATTAGCCAGCCAATCGAACCGCACACATCCGGCTAATGATTGGAATCCAATCAACCAGAGTAGCTTCAGCCCGGGGACTCAGGAAAATACCAACGCCGGATAGGCGCAATTAGAAGGTGCTGCTATTGTCACCTGAAGGGGATCGCAGATTGAGCACAGAGCTCGAGTCTTGTAGACGGGTCTCCGATACGCTGAAGTTATCGATCGAGAGGGTCTCTAATGTTCGGGCAAGTGGTGCCTCTTGACCAACCTGAATCAATGTGCGTACATTGAGGCATGCCAATCTGAAGGAGGATCGAGGGCTGCAAATGGAATTCGATGAACTAGGCCTGACCGCTTGCTTGGTCATGTGCCGGTTGACAGGGCAGGGATGACGCTCCACGTTCACATGTGAGTTGAAACTAAAAGACAAGCGACTATTGAAGCAAGATAGGGAAGGTCCGAGAATTAGTGTGGGGTTTAATAATGGGGGATAAAATTGAACCTGAAACGGGGCGATATGGGTGAAAAAGCGTAAGATGGGGAATAAGAAGACGGGAAGACTTGAGCAGTGGCATCCAAACCCCTATCCACCCTGCTCGATGCAGTAGATAATGCGCCGTTGATTATCCTCTGCGGTGGTCAGAGCATCGGGAATTCGTTTGAGGAAAAATGCATAGGACCGCGTGGGCAGGATACTGTCAGGTTGCGCAGGCCTAGACAGGAAAACGATTAGGGTTCCCAACCAAACCCTTTAGTTCAAATACCTGACCGCAAGGCAACGGGTTTGGCGTTGGGCTACAAGGAGTCCGTTTGAAGGAATAAGGAGCCACCCTCACGCCAACCCTCAACATGGAGCACTAGGAGGCTGAGTTTGTCTGGCCTCTAACCGTTGACCACTCTGGTATGAGTGGCTTTGAAAGTGCAAAAATGCATCACCCAGCATAGCTCACTGGATCGCTGAGGCACACAAACCATCGCACCACGGTAAGGTCCCGCCACATTGCCACCTTTTGTGCACTACCAGCTAAAAAGCTAGTTAATCCTCATTAGTCGGACGATTTTGTCTTGCTAGTTAATGATGTTGATGTGACCCAATCAACAATGAATAACCGGTCTAGTGTTGTCCCATCATTTTGCATACGCTTCGCACGTTGAAATTGCAAGGTATTACTGAAGGACCAGCCGCAGCTTGATAACTACGTGATTCTTATTAACAAAGAGCTCAAGTTAGTTGATTAATTCACATAAACTGGCAGCTGCATTCGAACTGATAGGCGCATGATCACTGAATTCATTTCACGCTTTGTAAAAGCTAGAACTGCCCTATTGTGTCAGAGACATGTGTGGCGTCAGAAGGGGGTTTCTCTCGATCGGAAAGGCCGTGTTCACAAGGCTACAGTGAAGGCCCTCCCGCTTCTTTTGATTGCAAACTGGCCTCTTCTACCTGAGAAATTGCGGCGCCTTCATGTCTTCGATCATCTGTGTCGCATGACACCAGCACATTTGCAACGATGCTGTCCGTAAGCGGGTGCCAGAAATTGATAATCAGGTTTGTTAATTAGAACAGCAGATGGCCCTGAATAAGTTGTGTTGGCACTTACAACGTACTTTGGACCACCACTTACCATGGAAAGCCTTGTGTGTTTTCTAGATTTATGGTGTCGCCCGCCCCTAGTGGCCAAAATTTGATTTGGCTGCGGGAATAGAAGCCGGCGACGGCCAACCTAGGTGCGGTCAATCCGTCTCACCTTCAAGACTGGAGTTCAGTTGACTGGCGCTTTGCTTGCTTCACTGGGCATGGCTTACAGTCAGCATCAGTACAGCGTCTGCTGTCGCCTCGTAGTCTGACCAGATGTTTAAAGTGTGTACGGTGCTGAGTTATCTACGGTTTCTTGACTTATTATGATGCAAGGCGGTGAATGCCGCAAGGAAGCTTATCGTCAATGCCGCCTTATCTTCGCACGATAGCCAGCTGTTTGTGACGGTGAGTTTTTGCCAAGAGGTGCAGGCCCGTTGACGCCGTATCTTTGTCTAGGTCATTAAGTTTTACGAAAGGTCCCCTTCTCTTTCTCTTATTAGTCTCTCTTCCATTGTACAACAGCCAAGCATCAGTTCAAATGGATGATGTACTGCTGTTGACGACGATGATTAAACGATCACCGCACTTTACCACTCACTTGGTTGGACTGAGAGATTGTCGAAACAGATCAGGCAGGTGACTCCTGATATATGTACTGAGACAAAGACATTGCACGCCTGCAACCATAAACACTATATATATGTGGTAGATATGTCTCAACTATAGAGGTATCTCAAACACTAGTGCCGCGCCTATCGTCCTAATAGCGCGACTCAGGAAAAAACAACTGAAAAATAGTAACGCAGGAGTGGATAGCATCATTCCAAAAAGCAATGGAATTCACTGATAGGATTTATCGATAAACACGTCGGTGTGGTGATGCGAATTAGAAATCTATATTCGTATAAAACTGACATTAGTATAATTCGCAGACACCCACCACTAGATAGACTAACATTCCTAATAGGTACCCTTTTGAAATGTGAACACTTGCCACTTTGAAAGCCCCTAAATATATTGTAACATTATACCAGCACAAAATTTCAAATTTATAGGTAGGTGTTAAATAGAATTTGACCCATCAACTTGCATAGAAATTTCCGAGGAACTACCAAAGTATTTGTGGAGGCCAGCAAGTATGCCGTCTAGCTCTAGTTAAAGCACAGCGACTCCGTCTCTCATTTCACAAATCCAGAAAAACCGAAGCGCTAGTGTTAGCTACACTAAGAAGTGGTTAGACTCCTTAAATATCTACACAGCCACTCTAGTATTGTGAATGCTTTTTGAGCGGCTGCTGTGACAAATGAGAATTAATTGAAGTTGTGGCTATTGTTTAAGCATTGTATCTTCGACGGCGTAGGTCATCTGGCGACTGCCTCTTTAACTTGAATCAATGGCCCTGAGTACAACGGTGCGGAAGAGGAACGACATTAACATTTAGCCGTCGGATGTGAAAAGCTTTGCGCTCACCGGAACACTAGAGAGATAGGTGTTGGGAATAGACCAAATAGCTCTCTCTAGGAGGCGAAGTACATTCCCACTTTCCTAATTATAACAACCTCAACAAGCCTATTGATAATTAACACCAAATGATGAGTGTTCACTATGACATGATGAGCATTACACAGGCAACTGGTTAGAATTAAACTGTTTTTATAGTACTAAGGTGTCGATGTATCAAGTCTGTTATCTCTCCCCTTCTCAATTTATGGACAAACTTCAAGAGTAGCTAGATCCCCCACGATGTATGAATCGAACACAACTTTAGTTAGCATAGTCATTACCTTAATTGACGTCAATTCCCAAGTATGACATCCAAATAAATGGTAGTAGTTAGAAGTGCCAATTTTTCGTGTTCATTCACAGACAATGTCTAAATTAAAAGCTGCAATGCAGTAACGCTGCAGTGACGTGGTTGTTGTTACATTATTTTCAGGTTTAGCTTATAATTTAGATGTGAGGAACGTCTAGAAAGCATTCGCTTGGCATATACGCAGTTTATTGTGTGCGTCTGTAGAGGGTTGAGGAGGTTTTTGGATGCGCAATCCACGTGACACAAGTCGAAGACAAGGATACTTGACGGTTATAAAAACAAAGATTAGATGAAAATACTCCTTGTAGCAGGCTCTTACTACCAGCCCTGGCCTGAAAATTTGGTCACCTGTTGACTACCAGAATACATTAGTATGTAATTAGGCAATTAAATCATTTTGACAGTATTTGGAGGACTACAGTCTTACTGCTCACCAGGGGTGCGGATAAATTGATTTCATTCATTTCCGAGCAACATTTGTATTAAGAAAAGCATAAGCCAGACAGTCATGCAAAGAAGTAATTACATCAGGTTAGACCTCATCTATGTATAGTTTATTTACTGGATATAAACGTGCAGATTGGCATGCCAAGCTTGGGATTAATTCGGGAAAATGGTTAGAAAGCACATTAAATATCTCAAATTAACCAGCGCTTGACACCAAGATGTTAATGTAACACTAAAATTGTGCACCAGCATACTTTGTTTACTTATGGGACTGCTAGAGTGAGAAAACTGTCATGGTCACATTTTTCTCTCGATTTGATCTTCAAAACCGGACTAAAAAGATACACTTTGACTTAGTGTTTTACCTGTCAATCAGCCTGCGTACACGTCACTGTTGCGAGCGGCGCTTCTCTCAAAGAAAAGCCGCGCAGCCTCTTTTTTCTCTACCCGGCGAATCGCACAGCCTGAAGTAACTAAAGATCTTTTGCAGAACGCAATTTACTGGATAAAATGGCAAATATGATGCAATAAAAAGTTCAATTATCTCCTATTGGGAACACGAAATCAACAGAAAAGGAATTAAGGACAAATTGGGGACAAGAACACAGCAACTAATAACATGATAACTGTAGCATAACACTTTTAGGGCTTGACCGAGACCACTTTCAGCTTGGTGAATTTAAAGTGCTGAATCAAAACCGACCGTCGCCTTCTACTGCATGAACAGAAAATACCACGTGGAATCCGAGTCAATTGCACTTTCTTTCAGAGGCCATGCAGATCAATTTTCTCCAGGCCTGCATTGAACCATGGTTGGTTGGGAAGCGGGGCGCAGATGGTAGACATAAATCACCGAGCTCACCCACAATTCCTGTTACAATGCCAACGTCCGGGATCGGTACAAAAGGTGCGACATGTTTCATTGGGGAACAAGACGAACCGGATTCTGGAAACACGTTCGCTAGCATGCGATAGCATGTTAACAAGAGCTGGTGAGCACGCCAACATTAATTATCGTTCGACATAGACAGCAACTGACTTCCTTTTAGGAGGCCATAGGATGGGAGAAGCGCCGTGGGAAATAAGGAAAATTAAATAAACCGAACTTGCTGCGGGATTAATTTAATTTATGCGGTCCATGCCAGATAGTAAAGAGCGGCATATCATTACTGACTAATGAGTCAAAGATTAAAGGCACACACAAAAGAGAAGCACTGTGATGGCAATGTAGTTAACGCAATGGCATTCTGCAAAACGATAAAACTTTATTCGTTTAATAACATAAATAGCGCAGCAATAAAAATATATTTCGGTAAATCTCGTCAGACTCAGACAGCTACATTATGAGGCTACATGGTAAATGCACCGAGTTTTGGTGTATATTCCTTGGGATGTTACATTTTATGGCGGCATGGATAAACCACGATGTCACTGCAGGCAGTAGATTAGGTGCAAGTATAAGGTTTACAGGGGTAAAAAATCAAGTCGTATGATCATGTACCGAAATGTGGGGGACATGGTAAAAGTTACTGGCGTACAAATTGTTTCTATGCACACAGCCCCGGCTTGATGTGGCCGATATAGATAGCTTCAGCAATGGGTAGGAAAGGTTCACGGAATCCGCGTCAGAACCTCTCAGGAATGGAAGGCATGTAATCGAAAGTATTCTCACAGCCTGTGTGACTCTACTCAAGGAGATGCGACATGATGGTGCCATTAGAAGTACCCGCTTCGCCTCTTTTAGACCACTTGGGGATGTGTTCGTGGATCCTATGAGATAAATGCCTCGGAGTATGACCCACGTAGCGTACACCAGACAATAGCCGCCATGGTGTCTTTGAATGGTAAATGTAGAAACATTTCTTTCTTGAGTTAACTCAACCGATATGGTCTACTGGTACGTTATTTCAGATGTATGAGAATGAATCTTTATGGATACCCAGTTGTGCTTATGGCGCCACTGATCCTCTGCAGTTCCTCTGCATCAGCGTCCAGTGTGCAAACACTGCGCACCTGAAAAGCAAGAGGACAGACTGGATTTATCTTGCAATTTTAGGTAATGGCACTATAAAAGTTGGTATATTGCCCAGTCCGTGTTTGTTTTCTATTCACTTTCCTACCACATATCCGTCGTTGTGTCTGAGAATAAAAGTAATAAAGGTACTAAAGTTAATAAAATAATAATAATAACACTAATAATGTAATAAAGTTAAAGATAGCCCTTCTCCGGACTCGTGCTCACAGATTAAATGCAGATTCCCATGCGCATCGTTAGGAGCTTTCAAAAATTTATAGTCCGGGCTTTCGGGTTGCATGATAGAACGGTTTCTTTCACATAGTGTATATACATTTAAAGCTCATTGAGCTTCAATCCTATTACGCCACGCTCCAATTTTACTGTAAGTAATGCCCGCAGTGGTCTCAACGATGACCTCATGGCAAAACCAACAATTTGAAATAATATGCTTATCGTTAACCAACCACTAATTTAAGGTGTACCTAAGTAACGCTTCCTTCAGAAGACTTTTCCGATAGATTTAACAATGTGTTCTGCGCCTGTTCCAGTTGACAAACGCAATACACTGTTAAACACTGCAGTATACTCGTACAAAACTACTGGGCGTCGAAAATTGACAAGTACTTATTGATGTGATTTAATTCTTTTAGCTTCTCAAATATCACAGAAGTATCCTACACGCAGCAAGTGCAAACTGCTTTTCGCAGCGGTCCCGACTTCTCAACCATCCACGTCCAAGATCGGACGCAGTGGGGCTCCTTCTTTGTGAACGTTTTAGAGACCGTACTACCGCAGCAGTGGTCCGCCTGGAGGCCCGTGCTCCTTAGAAGCGCATTTTGTGATAACATCCGCTTGTATCATACAGCTGAACAAACCTGTCTATTGTCTATCCACCTCTTGTCTATTACACATTCCTGTTGTTATCTTTTGGAACTTACGTTCGTCACTAAGAATATTTCACAACTTTCAGACGTACTTCGCCCTAAATATAAGGACTATGCCAGCAACTTAACCTGGCTTAGATATAATTTGATTTTTGTTTAGCCATTTCTCTACGCGACTACATGCACTATAATCTGAGAGCTGTCGTGCATTCGTCGTGTATAAGTCGCATGCAGCAGCTTGCATTGAGAAAATTTGCTTCTGTTTAGACCTATGTGTGTCAACACATATGGCAAACTTTCCGCATAAGCGCTTGAACATATACTGTCGTAGTGATTTATGAGTTTCTGACGTTAGCACACTGCCGAATCAAACCTCTTGAACACGTAACGCTCCATCATATAAAATGTAATTAGTTGTTGGAACTTATCCGACTCATTCTTTCTGTGAAGTATTCCTAAGTAAATACCATGTTTTCACTTTATGAGTAAACTAAGTAAACTCAGTGCATAAGTTTAAGTGCACAAGATCTTACACCCGAGTTTCATCTGCAACAGCAGGTATACGTAAGTCGATGTAAAACCATGAAACTTGGTTCTAAGACAACGGTTTAAATGTATGTTACTAACTATTAGATGGGATGATCTAAGTATTAATAAATTTTCGCGACACTAAGCCAAAACACTTGTGTGTGTGTAAGTTCCCCGGGCCATGACATTGGAATATTCATCAACAGATGGCACGCCGGTCAGTGTTCGTAACTTTGGTACCAAATTAACTATGATAAAACAGTCAAATATGCCCCAGGTGCATTTGAAATAATTATGGTTAGGAAATCCATGACCAGCACTATAAAAGGAGCCATTATTAAATAGGTTAGTTAAATGATGGGGATGAGGAACTGTATATTTTACATAGTGGATTTGCAGTTTACGTCATTTCCTTGAGTCAAGCATTCTTTTCACCGGGAACTCAAACCAAACTTCGGGATTCTCTACTCCAGTGCCTAATTCTGTGTACAACCGATTGCAGTTACAGTGTTTTGACACTCCTGCCCTTTGCAAATTTATTTCTCACCCTTTGTGCTGTACACTTGTAGGCAGATATTCTGCAGTCTTTATGTAGCCAGCGCTTTAAAAAGTTTAACTGTTTTTGGATCAGTCTTGTCAATTTAGCTTTTATTCGTATATTCAACCACAGTGCAAATATTGTGAAACCCGGACAACCAACTAACTCAGTTTCTACAAGCCTAAAAGACAGCTAATGACCGCTCAAGGTGAACAAACTTGCTGAATAGTTTGTTTTTGTTACACCGCTTGCAGTTTCTACATCATATTTACGCTCCATTGTTTCATGCCAATATTAAAGTTGAATAACTCGATAATCGATAATCCATGTATCGTTTGTGCTGTCTGCAGGTGCGTCTGCATGACAAGTCACATCGACTAGTGCAGCGACAACACACTAGATTATGTATATACTCGATCTTTCAAAACACATCACTACTCCGAACGGTGTGGGCAAATGACTAAAATCGGATACAGACAAATCACCCACCAAATCACTGGGTCAGATACAGTTTCCAGTCCTAGAGGCTGAGGTGAACTAAGTGGGGCGCCAAATGATCTCCAGACAAGGGCAGTTGTGGATCCAAAATTATCATGGAATGGTTAAACTAGGGTTAGCTTGCATGCCTCGATCCAAATATTTGAGACCATATGTGCATACTTGTCACACCCCAGTTGAAAGAGTGAAACGGCTCACCAAACGCACATTGGTTTTGCGCAATGTGTTCAGTCATCGCATTGGTTAGGCTTGTGCTTGTCTCAGTCCGCAAGTAAAATGGAAAACAGCAGAAGCGGAGGAACGAGTGGCTCAATACGTTGTTTTAAAATCTCGCGAGAAGGTGTGTCCGATAGGCTACCTAAAGTTAATTCTAATACATTGCGTACTACTAGGTGAGCGGTTGTCTATTACCTAACGGATGGTAATACATGTTTCATTTGAGTTGCAATATTTAAAGCGCAATTTCTACTGCTTGTGCATATGTATGAATATTCATTGCTTTTTGGGACAAACCTAAATGTGATGTTACCTGAGTTCAGTACATCTTATTTCACTTGCTTTTAAAATATCTTAATGAGAATCTTGCATTTTATTAAGCTCCACTACATGGATTTTATGAAAAAGATAAATGCTAGCAATCTTCTTCAGCTATATGCATACTGTATTTATAACGGTCACAGTATTGTCCACTTAACCAACACGCCAGCTGCTGTGCTCCCTGTCTGGACCGCTTGGCGCTTTGTAGTTTAAAAAATACTAAACCATAGTGAACTTGTAACTAACAGCGTAGTCTTCATTGGGAACTGCAAGTCAAAGCTATCCATTAAAATAAAACATAAGAATATAGGTCAAAAACGGTCACAATATCCATTTGAGACTCATTGATTAATCTTCTTTAGGAAACACAAACTTTAACTTTCATCCTTAATGCTTCAACAAACTTTGCATTCTACTCAGCAAACTGGTAGCTGTTCCAAAGCGAACCCTTATCTAGCATATCTGAAAACGCGGGCATAATGTTTCCTTCGGAGCCACAAATCTTCCCTGTGCCTTAAAGTCTCAAATATGACACGCATACTACGATTTTACGTCGGTGGTAGAAAACAACCCATTGACCTTGCTATGTGGTTCGCAGAATCTATTTTTGTACAGTGCTTTTGAGCAAACGTCACATGACTTCCCATGATATGTGGTGGTCAGTGTTCCCATTTGGGTTCCCCACAAAGCGGATAGATCCACCGCTTGCTATAGATATAGGCGCTTCATGCTGAGAATGCAACTGGGCTTTAAATGGCTGTACGGTTGACAGTTTACTGCTATTGCATAGATTGTCTGGTTTGCAGCACACCATTTAATCTTTTTATTCACTTTTTAGTGGGCGCGGATTCACTGGAATTTGTTTGATCTGACGTCCAGAGAGCGTCAACCATGCTAACGAAATA